GTCAACATAACTCTCAGTAAATACCGAAGTAGAATGAGGCACAAAACCCTCATACACTGTATTTTTAAGACGATACTGACCTGTACAAATAAAGGTAGAGTCTCAGAGAAAGAATCACAGGAGCACTCGTATCTTTTCCCGAATTGCGTCTGAGAGGACAGGAAGTAGGTCCGCTCTAGGCAACCGCGGGCGAACGACTACAGTGTCAACAGTTCTGCTTATTATTTCTCACTTTTACTCCCCTCAATTGTTATGGACTACACGTAATGAATGTAAAATAATAATTGTCTTAATTGCTGGCATATATTTTTCTTAAAAATAATAAAATTTACCAAAATGTGGTAGCACATTTGTGTTCACCATCATCAAATGTTTGGGTCCATAGCCAGGAAACTCCCCAGACCTTAATTCCACTGAGAACCTGGTGGACAAACAAAAATCCCCAAAACTCCAACCGCTGATTATGCACGAACTGGCTGCCGTCAGCCAGGATGTAACCCAGAGGCTGCTTGAAAGAATGGCAGGATGCCAGGGCATATGTCACAGGTCTTAAGAAAAGGCCAGATATTTTTTTACAAATATTGACCCTTTGCATAAACTTAATGTGATTGTCAATAAAACACATTTTGACACATATCCTCAGTGTACAATACAGTACAGTACAGTGTACAATAGAAACAACCAATAAAAAGGTCTAAAAACATAGAAGCAGTAAACTTTGTGAAAGCATATACCTGTGTCATTCTCAAAGCTTTTGGCCACAATTGTAATTTGTTAAAAAAAAAAAAAGAAGAAAAACACCTGAGAGGAAAAGAAGAACAAATTCAAAGACAAAGCAAATTGTATGACATAGGGTACTTAAGCGTTTCCTGGTGAAGCAACAATGGTACAGAGTACACACAAAAATACACGTATTAAATATAAGGCCACTGAGAAGGAAATTCTTTTTCAAAGCTCTGAAATACTGGGAGCTGATAAGAGTCTATCTGTGATTGACTTGTGTGCCACTGACATGCTTTCTTGGATGTCAGGAAACAATATTATCTTCATCAGCACTAATGAGGATTTCTTGTGTTTGCATTTGTGTTTCAAGAAATCTCATGGCCCATGTCTAAACCTCAACTGTATGCAATGAATCATTCTGACTAATACACAACAACAGTACAAAGTGTGCTAACAGACACTGCATAGACTAAAACATGCTTTTCACAGTTCAGAACTGACATGTCATTGAAAAGGAGGTGTTAGTAGAAAGCAAGGGGAAAGATTTTGTAGGAAAGATCACGACAGTCACTTGTTTGCGAGTGTCTTGAGATGGAAAATGTGCGGCACATAGGAGCAGAGGTGCCTGCTGGCTGCCTGCGTTTCCAGAAGTGACAGTTTACATCCTTCCTGTCTGAGCTGAGGCATGGGATTGTAGCTACTGTTATTGACACACTTTACCTTACTCCCTTCCACAATTAGATAAAACAAACTCTCTGATTAACTAACACAGCTATGAATAGTAGAACAATTACACAGTTGTAACTAGAATGGAACAGACAGTTACACAACTCATCACTATTAGTTACAAAAACTCTAAACGTTTATTTGACTTCCCTGTCTTATTGGCTTGGTTATATGGGAAAGGCTTTGTCTTTTTAGAGGTTTATCTTTCTCTGACTGTCCTAAAACTTCTGTCCTTTGGCTCCAAGCTTAAGATAACATGATAAATTACTTCTTAATGAAGTCACAGGGCAAACGGGAGTCTAATCACGCAAAGCAAAACCATGCATCCTGCTCCCCGCTGAAGCGTTCTTGATGTGAATCCAAAAAGATAGGATTCCTTTGGATTAAGAACCAAAAGGCCCTCAGTGGGAGGATCAAACCTAACTCTGAGGTTTGATCTTGACCTCTGATCTCTCCGATAAACACCAGCGGACAATCTGCCGCATGCTGCAGAAAACGGCCGAAAGCAGAAAATTCTCATACCAGACTTAGACATTTGACGATCTCACTTCTGCGTCTGAGTAATGTATCATAAAGTTTTCTAATGCAAATCCACGGTATACAGAGACTGCAAGGAATGCAAATTCAAACACTTCGCACTCACTGCCATATGAAGGCGCCAGCGTGCGAGCGCACTGTTAAATCTGCACATTTATGGCAACAAGTCGCGAATGTCCTGCCGCTTTAAGAAGCGAAGTAGAAATCCTGACCCAAATAAAGGTATGTGTGAGAACTACTCATGTTCTCTGTGGTCAGTAGACCTCTGCGCAGTTTGAGAGTCTACGGCGTTTTGCGTAAATCTACAGTCGCAATGGCAGACGCTCTGGCTAAAATCCCCGATGTAGAGATTGATCCAGAGGGAACTTTTAAGTACATACTGGTCAGAGTAAAAGCGAAAGATGGCGATGTGCATAAAGACATTGTCCGTGGCACAAAAAATGCCGAATATCACAGTAAGTTATTATAGTTTGTTTCAAGGAGAGCGTCAACTGCGTCATTTTAGCGCGAGATATCGTGCAGACCAGTGACTGTTGGTGCAGATGAAAACCTGCATGTAGTCTATTTTGCAATGTTGTCTCATTGTTATGGTCCCTTTGGTGGATTTTGCGGACGTGCATTGATAGATACTGCACAGAGCAGAGGGATGAAATTCATGCCAACCTAGTCGTTGGAGACAACTACCAAATTTCCGTATTTGATTCTAATTGCTATTTTTATTAAATTGTAACTAAATTACAATCTCAATTTCTTCTAAATGTCTTCATACATTTTCAGATCATATTTTTGAGAAGGTCAACCCTGCTATGGAGTCCTTGGGGATGGAGTGCAAATGCCTTGGAGGAGGAAAGATCGAGCACAACAACCAAGAGAAAAAAATAAGGGTGTTTGGAGAATCCACTGTAAGTTAACTAAAAGCTAAATGAAAAGTTAAAATCTTCAGTAGTATTTAATTCACTAATGTCAGGTCTCTTGCTCACTCGCAGGCCTTTGGAAAAGCTGACCATGCTGTTTCTGTGGAGAAGCTGAAGACTTTCTTCAGCGACTATGAGATCACCTGGTCAGACGACAAAAAATAGTTGTAACCTTTGTGACATTTCAAACGTCCGCCTTTATTTAACAGTTCTGTGAATCAAACCACATAATGATGCTTTAACTGTTCTGTAACCATTCAAATACAGTCCTTCTGCATTTCACATTTGGTTTCTTACTCAATGAAAGCACAAATTCTGATTCTCTGCAGTTGTAAAAATTTTTGTCCTTCAGAATTGAATACTGTATATGAACTCTGTAGATATTCCTGTAAATACCTTTTTGACTTTTAGTCCCCATTGGCCTCAGTTGAATAGGAGTACATTTGCCAGGCGTAAAGTCCATACAGGAAAGGGTGAGTCTGTTGGAATCACAGACATATCCTGTTACACAGGAGGGAAAGTTTATTGTTGAAAACCCAAAAGAGAGATAACAAGCACTTTCATTTAACCTACGGATAATCACTTTTGTTTTTGTTTAAGTCCAGATAATGATAAACATCAAGCTAAATTCAGCAGAACTCTTTCTAAACGGTAGTGCAATAATAAATAAAAGCCTGCGATAAAATATCTTCAATCAAAAAACTAACAAGAACTCAGAGTGAGAAAATAGCCCGAGCTGAGTCATATTTTAAATCACACGTTGAATTTTTAAAAGTTCTTCCACCTTCAGCATTTTATGGCTTTAATCCAGTTCAAATTTCACTTTTACTTTTATGCTGCCAAAAAAATGCACTTTTAAAATCGGTAGTAAACAGAAGGTACTTACACCAGACCACATGGTAATATTTAGCAGGCACAGTATTTGCTGTGATCAACTTCTTCAGTTTGCATGCATTAGTAAAGGTCATTTGCAGATTCTGGGTCATTAACTTAAGCATAAATTGGTGTTTTAATTTGATGACGGCACTGTAAACTTTGTAGTGGTGTTAAAGGGAACCACTTAGTTGTGTCACGTGATCCATGAGCACATGAATGATTTTTGTTTCATGCCTGTCCCTGTTGTGATATGGTACTGTGCAAACGTCTTGAACCACCCATCATTTCTTTGTTTATTGCACACAAAAAAGAAATATGTGCAAAAATACACTGAAATACAATTTATTATTATTTGTACATTTCTACTGAGCTTGAAAGGTAATACATGGAATGACCACATTTATTCTTTTCCAGAGCTTGAACTCACTTAGGCAAGTTTCTTTGTCATTTACTCAGGTAGTCACTTCACTACCTGTATGTGCCACGCAAGCTTCCACCATGTTTTACAGATGCCCAAAGACACCCACTGTTGTACTTCTCTTCTGTACATGTTAACAATTTAAACCAAAGATTTTAGTTTTGGATTCATCACTCCATAAGACCTGATGCTGCTGATTTTCAGTCCAGTGCTTGTATAATTTGGCACTCCTTGGCCTTTTCCCCTCTTTCCTTCCTTAAGAATGGCTACATGATGAGTCTTAAGTAAAAACTCATCATACACACAGTTTTTAAGGTTCAACTGAATCTCTCAGGTCCTATGTCAGGTCTTTGTTGAATTTCTTCCTATTAAGAACATGTTGTAGTTTTTAGGCCTGCCACTTCTCCACTTCACCAGTTTCCTCGAATATGTTAAGGATACTCGGGCTGCTAGTAACAAAAGGCCTAAAGATACAATTCAAAGTTGCTGCTTTACTAAGATGTCTTTTATCTGTAGTCACAACACTCATTCATCCCTTGAGCTAGGCGCCTTTTTAATGCATGACTGATTCATAGGTCAAGTGGCCTGATTAACCAAAAAAACATCGAAAGTCTTCATGTACAAAGACATTGCTCAAGACCACCTAAAAAGTATAAAGAAATGAGTGGTAGTGACTGTGAAGAAACAAGATTAATTCTGGTGTTTATTTTTTAACGTGACACACTGTGTGTTTTAAGTGTGTTTCTCCTAAAGCAGAACACAAACGCTGCTTTTTCTCAGCTGTGTTAGCAGTACATGAAAATACTTTGGGTGACTTTACATTGACAGTTGATTGTTGTTTTTAATATTAAAAAGTAGCTTTATTTTTCATTATAATGATGAAAGAAGTAATAGACCTTTTACCATAAAAGACTGCATTTACATGAAATTCACAGCCCAATTTTTCCGATGATATTTAGGTTGGCAGCATGCTAAATGTCACCACTGGCACACATTCCTGTACTTTCCGTTTCACTTTGACTCACTCAGTGCTTAAAAAATCACAAAGAAAACATTTGGATAGAAAGTACCATGTGGCTTTGCAGACAGGATTGGAATTAGCTCATGTTGACACTCTGAATAGACCTTAGTTCACACTGAGTCACATCAGAAGACTTAAAAAAAGTTACTGGCTAAATTCTGCCAAATACCCCATGACCCTAACAAAAAGAATAACAAAAGCCATTTTCCTTCCACTTTGTATTCCAATCTACAACCGGTTTCCCTTAAACTGATAACCTTTCCATTATCTAGGTATGGGGAGGTCTGTGTGGGAGGTAGGAGGCTTAAAGTGAGTTAGACTCAGCCCTTTTCTTGTAAAATGAATAATTTACAGTAAGTAATTAGCAAATTCTTTGTAATCTTATTAGAGGACACCATCATAATACTTCCATTGTTTTTTAAAGCATTTTTTCATATATTCATTTTACCCTATTTAAATGCATATTGCTTTGAAGGTTCACTAGACTGTAAAAGTGTCTAATTTATTGAGATTAAACTGTAGTTTAGGTAACTATATATATATATATATATATATATAAGTATGTGTGTGTTTAAGTGATGTTTAAGTGATTGCAAAGCCTTAGCAAAAGTCATGAAACTGAAGAAGTTGTAGGACTGCTGGATTTTGACCTCACTGTCGATCAAATAAAAGAAATGCTTTTATTTTGGGGAACACTGAAAATATGAGTCTTGGAAAATACAAACTATTACTGAATTCTACAGGATTCAGCAATACTGGTTTCTTTTTTTTTTCTTTTTTTAAATTATAACATAGTAGTAAGGGGAAAAACCACCATATTGCCATTGTCCCGTGTATTTTTATACTTCCAAGTGTACTTCAAACAGGTCGGAGCCTTGTTTCCTGAAGAAGAAGAATGTCCCTTCCTGTAGCAGCGCCAGCTCACACCTCAGGGTGTCTGGAAAAGAAGTCACAAGAATAACCAGCATGAGTTCACTTTAATGTTTAAGATCTTATTTCCAAAACAATAGCCAGTACTCCATCAGGTCAGAGTCAACAGAAATTCCAGATGTTCCAGATAAAGGTGTGTGTGTGTGTGTGTGTGTGTGTGTGTGTGTGTGTGTGTGTGTGTGTGTGTGTGTGTGTGTGTGTGTATAGGGTTATATATGTATATATATATGTCTAGATATATATATATATATATACAAATAATGCAGTTGGTTGAATGTTATAAATAGCTGCAGAGAGATGAACAGCTACAAATATCTAGACAGAAACTGCTTCCAACGAGGCAGAATCAGAACACTTCCATCTATAGGACTTTATTTATTCTAAAGAAGATATACTGATATTACATATTGCATAATGTCCCTTTTTTAAGCTATAAATAAGGGTTAAGGCCTAGGAAATTTTCATTTATGGCCTTAAGACTTTTCAATAAATATGCACTTTTTTCAAGTGAAGGCATCTTCTTTCAGCCACTACAGTGGATCACCCTCCTTCATCTTTCATCCTCTTCTGTCACATCAGCCATCTGCTTGTCCTTTTCCACATCGATTAATATTTTCTGTGGTTTTCCTTGTTGATTGAATCTGCGGTCTAAAATCAACTGAAAGAAAAATCAACTGATTAAAAAATGCATTTTTAGCCTCTACGTATCATATATGAGATATGGAGAAAGCGAACCTTTTAGACCCCAGAGAGAGATTTGAAATAAAATGCTACAGGGGAAAATACAGAAAAGGGGATTTTTTGTGGGGGGGTTTTAAGGGAAAGAAAGACATTGATTGTTTCCTTGTGTTCATGTCTAGTCTAGAGGTCATTAGTGGGCCAGGTAAACACAAGGTTCCAGGAACTCAGTGAATTACTGTCAAAGGAAGAGAAGAGAGTAACTGCGGACTGCGTCCTTCTTACTGTAATTACTGCCCCACCAAATTGTGTCAAAAAATATTTGAATTTATGGTGAGGATCAAGTCTCAAGGAGTGATTAAATACACCAGATAGCAAAAAAATGGAAATTTGTGAACATGGGGAAAAAGTCTGGTAAAGAAAGCCCCATTCTCTATGAAGTGCCAGATTTCCTGTCACCAGATGTAGTTTATCAGAAGGGGAAGTATGGAGACAAAGCCATCTGTGTTATGCATGTTTGGGTAAACCATTTTGGATTTGCACAAGGCGTCAACATTTGACAGCTGATGTAGTTAGAAGAGAAAAATGATCATAGAGACAAATAGATAAAATTCAAGAAAGAAAATGAAAAGATTTTGTTGAAATTGCTTAAAGACATTAAACGTGTGGAAGCGTGAGGCAGAAAAAAGGAGGATGAAACAGAGAAATCTTCTCAGAGAACGTTCTGCTCCAAAGGCTACATGTGCTCCACCTTGACCTTCACCGTCACTGTACAACAAAGACACAGGACAGGACATGGTGTCAGCAGACAATTAAAGTGATTCATTACTGACTACGATCTAACACCGGAGGTTTCACATTAACAAGCTGATTAACTGAACATCCACTTCCACATCACCGTTTTCTCATATAGCCCACCACACCACTTTCCCAATGGACAGCCTACTAGACTGTTGATTGAAGCCATGACTTGTGATCAGGAAATAGTTAATAACATCAACAGACAACATCGCAAGTGGGACGATGATGATAGCACTGTGCAAGGTCAGACATTATGGCACATTAGCAATCTCCTCAGAGCCTAATGGAAGAAGAAAATGGAAAATAAATGGACTAGGACGTGACAGGCCTAACCATGTACCAATCTGTACAGGCTACAGGCTCTTTGCCAGAAACCCTGACTCCAACCATTTATCAAGCTCTAGTTGGAAGAAGAGGTGGTTCCAGAAGAGGCCCTCTGTTTCTAATGCTATCAGGGGTGACATTGTGCTAGAGAAGTCCTCAACAAGGATAAACTTGATGATTGGAAATTTGGCAAGGTGGACTGAAACTGGGGAAGACACGCAACTGCTCGGATTCAACTGATGCAGGAGGTTGGAGGTACCACACCTACACA